CCAAACATACAGGTGACATATCTCAATGTGCAATTCTTACAACTATAACTTAGAACCAAGATGGTTATTAACAAGTAATTCTGTGTCAGATATGATCCAGGTCATACTCCGTATTCTGAAAAACAGCCCCTTTCTATCTGCAAATTGCAAAGTGTCCTTATAGCGTTTTACTTAATCAAATTTCATGGTAGCAAACTGAGGGAAGTTTACTCTATCCTCCATGACCAAAGCAACCTTTCAGCAAGGTGGCTGGGGCAAAGCTGAGTAGTGAAGCTCCAATATATGATTACCCACTTAGGCCTCAAATCTTCTTTCTCCAGTTAATCTACTTTAGTTATCTCACACTCTGCTTCAGCTAGGTAGATTTTTCTCTTCAATCCTGATCATCTTTTGGAGGCCTTAGCGTTTCAGAGGGAAAGGTATTACTGTGCCAGGTACCTTGTCATGGACTGTGCCTGCTTTTTGGTAACAAAACCAGGTGTTTCTACTGTCCTCTGGTTCTTCTTCAAAGGGACCAATGCAAGATTAAGTGACTGAACTATCCTTTATTGGTAGAATTAATTTTATGAGGTATTCACAATTCAGTACCACCTCCACCTAGGGTTTTTTTTTGTTTGTTTGTTTGTTTTCGTTTTTTTTTTTTTTTTGGCACAGGCAAAGTTAGACAGTGAGAGAGACAGAGACAGAGAGAAAGGTCTTCCTTTTCCGCTGGTTCACTCCCCAAATGGCCTCTATGGCCAGTGCGCTGCACAGATCCGAAGCCAGGAGCCAGGTGCTTCCTTCTGGTCTCCCATGCGGGTGCAGGGCCCAAGCACTTGGGCCATCCTCCACTGCCTTCCTGGGCCACAGCAGAGAGCTGAACTGGAAGAGGAGCAACTGGGACAGAATCCGGTGCCCCAACCGGGACTAGAACTCGGGGTGCCAGCACTGCAGGTGGAGGATTAGCCTAGTGAGCTGCGGTGCCAGCCTGTACCACCTAGTTTTAACCCTAGCTTCCCCGGAAGAGAGAGAAGTGTGTTGATACCTTCCGAATTAGGAGACTGTAGAACTGAATGGGAAAAAGGCAAAACCAAAAACAGATCAGAGTAAAACCTGGTCCCAAGTATATAAAAGCAAGATGCTCCTATCATGGGAATATGAGGAGAGAAGTTAAGGAAATAAGTCTTTAGAAGATTAACTGAGGAAGACTTTCAGTATAAAAATTAATATAGGTCAGTAAAGTATAGATTAAAATTAAATATAGATCTTTAAAACTCCCCTCTGTGTACTTCATCTTCTCATAATTAACTTGGTGATGATATTTAATTGTGAAATTATATATGATAAATAATAAATCTGTGTGATTCCTACATGTTGTTCATATTTCAGTACACCATTTGGTCTGATATTTCTTTTTTTTTAATTTATTTGACAGATAGAGAGAGAGACAGAGAGAAAAGTCTTCCTTCCATTGGTTCACTCCCCAAATGGCCGCCATGGCTGGAGCTATGCCTATCCGAAGCCAGGAGCCAGGTGCTTCCTCCTGGTCTCCCATGGGGGTGCAGGGGCCCAAGCACTTGGGCCATCCTCCACTGCTTTCCTGGGCTACAGCAGAGAGCTGGACTGGAACAGGAGCAACCGGGACTAGAACCCACACCCATATGGAATGCTGGCACCGCAGGCGGAAGATTAACCAAGTGAGCCACTGTGCCAGCCCCTGATATTTCAAATACAGTAGATACTTAGAATATTCTTGCTTATAAGAAATATGACACATGATTAATTTATAAGAAGTACTTGAAACTGATCTGCCAACTAAAGGTGGAAACAATTTTAGCTAAATAATCATAACAGTATTAAAGTCTTCTGTCTTTTGCTTGCGAATGTGGAGAAAACCTTGTTATTGTCTGCCACAAATGATGTGACCTTAAAACTGAAGCTTTTGTAGGAAACTAATATATTGTCAGGAAGTAATAAAGGGGTTGAGAGGCTTTTGATTTGGTGGCAGATATTTGCATATATTTTAGGTCGCTGATGAGACAGTCATTATCATGTCCAAGGTACAGCTGAGCCTGGGCTGGTAGCCTGCACTCCTGCTCTGGGCACAGTCTGTGCTTCTATATAACCCATGGAACAGATAGTATAAATACTTTAAACTGTGGTTTCCTCATTAGATCACTAATGTTATTGAAGTTCCTGCCCCATCCACATTTCCAGAGTCTGTACAGACTTGATTTTGGTTATTATTTTGCACTTTGGGTTATTTTTCAGCAACTCTGTCTACATCTTGGTTCCTGTATGATGAGAATGCATCTGTAGCTGCAAATGAAAGTGATGTCTTGGAAACACACTCTTCCCTTGATTGTCTTCTGCAACCTACACCAAGCGAGCCCATTTTGATTTTCAAAGCCCAGGTAACACCTGATTATATGATAATCATCAGTAATAGCCAAGCTCCTAACTACTGCACCCCCTTCAGGATTCACAAACCACCAATTCCTGTACTTAGCTTCCTCACAATTTGTCTTTAGCTGATGAAACACTTCATGACTATTTTGTCAGGGAGCTGCCCTGAGATCATGACTCTTTTCTGAAAGATGGCAGCTCTTAGACCTCAAGACTTCCTGTGTATCATCTCTTGTCTTCTGAGTTGGTCAAGTTGTTGCCCTAACTATCACTTGATATAGCCTGTAAGCATCCTGCATTTGGTTAACTTTGTCTTGATATTGTATTACAGAACTTAGTGAATATTCATTTGAATTATGGAATTCTTCTTATGGTACAGCAGAAATAATTCTTTCCTTTTCTTACAATGGTAAAGCCCAGTAAATCAAGACCTGCTATAATAATAAGATCCCCTCTGAGAATCTTGATATGTACCCTGGTCCTGAGAGTTTCCTGAGTGATTTCATAATGACATCTTTTAATATTTTCCAATGAATAATTCATGCCTCTTAATCCACAAGCCTTGTTAGGTACCAGGGAGAGGTGAAACAAACACTGGACGGGGAGTCAGCAGACCTAGGTTCCAGCCTTTTCTCTGCTCACTGACTCACAGAAGTACTTGGCCCAATAACTTCTACTCTCTGAGCCTTAGATTTTCTGACTGTAATGTAAATTGTCAACCAATGTCACCTCCCAAAGCCTAAAACAGTATCAGATGTTTGCCATTGCTCCTGTAAGTGACAAGATTTGAATCTGTTTCTGATAACTTCTTATTCTACTAGGAATCTGGAGACTGATTCGTGACAGCTATGACATGAAAGGAAGGCCTTGAGGAGATCACTTTAATGAGCAAAGGAAGCAGGACCATCTATGGCCCCTCCTCTCAGGATTGTGTAGAGGTCAGGAAAAAGAGTCAAATTCCCTTTCTGGTCCTGGGTATCTGGGTGGTGCCAAAAATGCTGGTAAGAGGACAGAAAGTGTGTTTCCTTTTCCCCTCCATGTCATTGCAAAAGAATACCATAGTGTTCGTTCATTCCTAAAGGTCTTCAGGTGAAATTCGGTCAGTGCTCCACTTTGTTTTTATTCACCTTCACAATATCCAACACCACCTTACGCTGACCTCAACAGAATAGATACACTGGGTGGTTCCTGTCTCACAAAACTATTACTACAAACACAGCAAGGCAGAGCACCACGTGTGTTCACAAGTTCAAAGCACATTTTCTGTAATTACAAATATACTCCCATTCAGACAAATTTCTTGGAGAATGACTTTTTTGTGTGATCCAAATATTTGCCAGTTTGGCTGGTAGTATCTTTCCCTGGACCAGGAACTTGAATTCCATCTATAAAATCAATGTCTTTGCCTCCATAGCTGACATTTACTGCAGCTAAAAGAAAAGACTACTCCATGTTGAATGATCTGAAGCTCTCTAAAATATACGGACCTGCTTTTTGAATAAAGTTACAATTTTTTCTTTCCTGGAAAAATTAGAGCAGTAAAAATAAAGTCTGTGCAAACTACAGTTGATAGCAGAGAAAGGAGCAGGGAAGTTACTTGAGATTTAATCCTGGGTCATAATATACTGCATCCCTCCCATTCTTGCCCTTATCTCAAATGAAAATCCATCTTTTCCTTTCTTTCAGTCTCTCAATGCAGCTCCTAACAGTTACATGCCTCTGATAACCTCGCCATTTGATTTAAAGTGAGAATGCACCTTTCTAAATATTTTCTCTTTGAGCACAAAAGAGAACCATCACGCAAGCCAGAAAACAATTTCACTTGCATTTTATCAAAATAATTTAAGTCAATTATGAGTATCTAGAAATGTAAATTTGATTCAAAATCAATTTGTTCATTGTTGATTTCTTTAATGTACTGATTACTTACTCTGATAGACACAGCTTATCCATGAAAAACAGAGGAACTGTGCCTGTTTTTCTTATTTCCCCTCTCTCTCACAAATGTGCTATTTACCAGACTGCTTCCTTTTTGAAAGCAGACTCTCAACAAGCTATCATTAGTTACAAGAAAAATTCACTTTTAAAGTAAAAATATGTAACTTATACAAGATGATAGGAGGATATATTTGTGGTGGTAAAAATTATGAGTATTATAGTTCTCAGTTTTAAAATCATAGTTATTTTGAAAAGGACACAAAGTTATCCATTTTAATCACTTGACAGATAAAAATAGCATCTCCAAAGAATTATGGTAAAGAGTAGATAAAAATCACCCTGTACATACACGTGAGTAGCTTTACTTAATGCAGCAGGTTAAATTACAAAGGCTATTTTATTGACTATCAATCAAGCAAAACGCATTGTAAAAATCTCTCCATGTCAAACTTACATTTCCCCAAGTTCAAAGTTACCTCCCCCTCCCACCTCAAGCAGCCAACCATAGAATTATTTTTGTTTGTGCAAATACCAAGGAAATGACATGTGAGGATGGTCCATAATCACCCTTATATCTGACAGGTTATCCAGAATCTGGTATAAAGAGTCCAATTCTAGATAGTAACAGTGAAAGGCACAAGTGAGAACTAATTATGCTTTTAAAAATTGGAGCCTACCGTTTCACTTTCTTTCTGTTTTCTCCAGGGATCGCCAAAGAATTCAAGCAACAGCCACTCCAACAAGGACGCTAGTGATGTGTGCATCAATTCCAGCACTCTGTTCTGAGAACAACCAATCCAATCTTACTTCACTGCCAGAAAAATAGGGGAGAAAGAGAAAAGAGAAGAAGAAAGAACGAAAGAAAGAAGGGAAGAGGATGATGGGAGGGAGGAAGGGAGAAAATAGTAAAAAGTAAGCAAAAAAAAGAATGGTGAAAGCTAAAGAAAGAAAAGAAATTAATTTCTCCGGATTACCTAACCACTACCATGTTGAAAAACATGGTAGTAAGATGTCAGAGTGAAATATGCAAGACACTCCGTGCACACTGAATATTTCCGTATTCCAGGGGGCAGCGTTCTCTCTCTCTCTTGCTCTCTCTCTCTCTCTCTGATTAATGATGCAGGGTTACACTATAGGCTGTACATAGAGCCGGCAAAGCTTCTCACTTAGCAAAAGAAACTCTCCTTTCTATTTATAGGGCCACAGTGCATTGTCTTCCAATTCTGTGGTTGCACTCAGCTTTGAGTTTGTGCTAACACACAGCCTACTTGCTTTTGAGGTCCTTTGCTGATGCTAGATGCTCTCTGGCCCCTTCCACAGACAGTAGAACACTTCAGTCTTCTGTATGATTCTTTCTCACAGCCTTCAGTTGTGTTCAGGTTTCAAAGTGGACACTTCTCTGTCTAATGACATCCCCTAACTAACTCCAAATAGGGGACGTCAGGGTGGGGATGACCTCGGCTTAGAGGAGTCTTGAATTCACAAGCCTCTGAAATGCTGACATGGAAACAAATGCCCCACTTCTTAAGAGGAATTTGGAGCTATAATTCACCTTGCACTTTCTGTTTACCCACCCTGCATTGCCTTAAGGGTCCCTGTAACCAGGAAGTATAGGTAAGATCACATTTCCTTATCTTGGGTAGGGTGGGTTGGGTGAAAAGAGACGGATTTCCTGTAGCCAAGACTCAGCCGCAAGTTCTTAAAGAAGATGTTCTAAGGAGTCCCTGAGCCCAGAAGCCTTAGAGACCATCACACTGTGTTAGGCACCTGACACTCCCCACCCCACAGCCACAATACAGGGAGCAGGTGGAAGAAAACCCCAGGATTTGAATAGTAGCTCTAGATCAGAGCAAATCAACTTTTACATGAGACATACAGGAAAAAGATATAACACTAGTGCAGGTCCAAATTAATACAAAGACATTACCAGTGGGTGGTATATTACAGGCAGTACCTGATCGCTCTTTGCCTCAAAAAAATATCCCTCCCACTGTTCCAATAACACTAGTCCTCTGGTAGGCATTGCTTTCTTCCTGAAGTTTTGATTTTGAAATCCTTGTACTCTTAGAAATAAATATACCTGCTTAAAAACTAAGAAGTGAAGGAGTTTATAAGAGCTGGAAAGGTAGGAGTACATGGTACGAATGGGATATAAAAGAAAACTGAAGATATTCAAGGATGGGAAAATTGAACTGCCGAAAGCAACCATTAAAGCTTTTTTCTTAGGCTAACTATACTGAGGATGATCTTGAGAAAGTAGGAAACAGTAAAAGTAGAAACAGAGTAAATGAATCTAAATTCCTGTTAGGCCAGGTATGTTGACAGCAGACCAAAATATAGTATTCCTCCTTTGCCTTTCTATCTGTAGACTGGGCTCTAGCAGATGACATAGGTAACAATTTGTTTATTTAAATAATCTTGTCTACTTGGTTTTGGTGTGTCTAGAGTTTATTTTGGTGCTCTCTCCCATTGCATAGGCTAAGCTCTGGTCAGAAAATATCTAATGAATAACTGCTAAATGCAAAGCAGTGGATTAAATACAGCTGACAGGGGAGACGGAAGACAAAGAGTAGGAAGGGAAAGATAGGATGCCATGCTCAGTTTTCTTGAATCTAGTTAAGCAGATAAGACAAGTACTTCAGATATAAAGAAATGTGCATGTAATAAGGGGCTAAGAATGTCATCTAATGCTATACAATTTCAAACAGGAAGGCAAGCATCATGGAGGATTGAAGTAAGGGATAGATTTTCAGTATGGAAGGCAGGTGAATCTTCCAGGAGAGAATGGATTTCTTAAAACCATAGATCTTGAAGGAAGACATTTCTCTCTCTCTCTCTCTCTCTCGCTCTCTCTCTCTCTCTCACTGTCTATATCTCTACCTGTCAAATAAATTTAAAAAAAAAAAACATAGATCTTGCTACTTTGAATGGCTCATCTCTCTGTATCTTCATTTGCTCCCTACTTGCCTTCACCAAATAAGCATTAGGTGGATGCAGACATATTACATCTTCCAAATTTTCAGCTTGAATAGAGCACATAGGAACTACATGCATCTTGAAATAAAACAGTCAGTGATGAAATTTCCTGAGCTCTACTGTACTTATTTCCTATTTAGGTCAAATAATTATAGCCTGATTAAAACTAAAGGAATGCCCTTGTAGGAACCTCTCACATTTCACCACAATTGATCAAACAATAGCATATCAGGACTGAAGGAAATATGAGTGATGAATTAGACCATATTCTTATTTTCAAAATGAAGACAGTAAGAGATTCAAGGCTCATGGTAAATTAATTATAAACATGAGAACTGAAACCTGTTTTCTAAATTCTTAAGACAATATCTTAACCAAAATTATCTCCATCTGGCCAATGCCTAATGGCATCTATGAAATGGGTGATTTATTTGCAGTTACATTATCTGTGCCAAGGCTTTGTCTTGTTTAGTTACAGAGGAAAGGTCACATATCAAATGGACTCTAAAGTTAAGCTCTATTGGCTGTTCCTTGAGGGGTGGACATTTTGACTCACTTAGATCTACTTAAAAAAGAAAAAGGTCAGGATCACTCAAATTAAGAATAGCGACCCATATCATTCTTTTATCTTTCCTCTATGTTGTAATTCTGAAATTTAAAATATACTAAAACAGAAGTAAAGGAAAGTTTTGAGCTTTTGTTATTTCTTTCAATAGAGAATTTTCTTTTTAATAAATGTTTCTTTATCATCAAATGCTTACCTCATGATTCTAGAATTACTATTTTACCTTAGCTTCTTGGCTATGCTGCACATAAAACATTAAAAGATATGGTGGATTAAAGCAGTTCTTCCAAACATATCCATACTATCAAGCTTGCAATTTTAAATGGTTATTTCATTCCAAAACTGTCCGTATTTTCATCTTTGATACTGATTGTGACTTAGTCATAACTAGCCTTTGTTTTGCACTCTATGAACAGAAATGTGCTGTACATGTCGCCATGCACTAGCACAGTAAACATATCATCAATAAAACAGCAGAGTGCTGTGGTTAATGGATTAAAATGCCTTTTAAAAATTGGTTATCCAAATTATTTTGAGAGGGAGTTAAGTTAAAGTATAAATTATGCCCATTCTTTCTGTAATTGAATTACTTTTTTTGTTTGTGGAGGGGAAATTATTTTACAACTTGAGAGCTGGCAATCAGCCAGGAACTGTGCTAAATATTTAACGTTTGTTATCTAATGTACTCATCAAAACAACCCTGTGTTTGGGAAATGTTTTGTTCACATTGTACACTTGAAAATACATGTTTAGGGATGCTAAGTAATTTTCCCCAAGCTACAAAACTTTAAGAGTCAAGAAACACTGAATATTGACCTGAAGTTTTGTAATTAAGATTGTTTCAAGCCAGAGGACATCCTTGCCAATTTTCAGCTAGTAGTGGTATCTATTAGTAAGGTGCAACAGTAAAACTTAATTGTGGGGCTTGTTTGTGGCTCAGCAGGTTAAGCTACAACCTGGAACACTGTCACACCATATGGGCACCAGTTCAAGTCCTGGCTGCTCCATTTCTGATCTAGCTCCCCTGCTAATGTACCTGGGAGAGCAGACGAAAAATGGCTCAAGTTCTTGGGCCATTGCACCCACATTGATGACCCAGATGGAGTTCTGGGCTCCTGGCTTTGGCCTGGCCCAGCCCCAGCTGTTGCAGCCATTTGGTGAGTAAGCCAAGGGATAGAAAATCAATCTCTCTCTCTCTCTCTCTCTCTCTCTCTCCGTCTCCCTCTCCCTTTCCCTCTCCCTCTTTCTTCATCCTTCTTCTTCTAATTCTGCTTTTCAAATAAATAAATAAACCTTTTTAAGAACTTAATTCTATTAACCATCATAAATAAGCATATAATAAATAAGAATTTATAGAGCAATAATTTGGCATGGTGATTTAAGATGCCACTTGAAATGTGGGCTTAAAGCCCAGCTCTGTTTCCAACTCCAGATTCCTGCTAATGTGCAACTTGGGAGTCAGTTCAAGTACTTGGGTCCCTATTACCTACATAGGAGACAAAGATCAATTGCTGGGCTGCTGACTTAGCCGGCTCTAGCCCAGACTGATGCAGGAACTTAGAGGAGTGAATCAGTGGATGGAAAAATCAATCTCTCTCTCTCTCTCTCTCCCTCTCTATGTCTGATGTACACATGTAAACATAAAGTGGGAATAGTCCAGCAACCAATCACAAAATGACAGTGTACTCAAGATTATACTCACTTTCCAAATGAATGTAACAAAGTATATGTGTTAATTTTAATTCTCATTATTTGTCTAGAAAATAATGGAAAAGGTAAATGGTCTAAAACATAATATCAAAATATATATAACTATGGTGTCATATGTTTGACAAATTTGAGATATGACAGAAACCTAATTTTATAGAAAAATTTCCAGAGAACATTACACTGAAAACCACAATATAAAGTGCAAATAAGCACTAGCTTTCAGAATGACAGTGGTACCGAATGGCACAAAGCAAAAGGGTGCTATTTGTATTTAGATGGTCAAAACAGTATCAAAGTCAAGAGTTGTTTTGTTATTTGACATTAAGTCCTTATAATCAGCAATAACCCATTATAGAATCTTTCTACTGTAGCATGCCCTTGGTGATAGAATATTCAACAAGTATCCACAAATGTCACTTTACATGGCTGGTGTTCGTGTATATACATGGGGACAAGGCTCTAACAGAGAAAGAAATACCCTTATCCATACCCAGATTGAAAGGTTACCTATCACCTATCACACACAGTACAATACTCAATGCAAGTGTTATACCTCCCTAAAGTCCACCCACATGCCTGCCACTATTTGAAAAGTGATATTTTCAGATGTGTTCTTTTTGGCTCTTCCCATTTTTGTGTCCTTTTTGTAGCAGTAAATTGTTTGGAGGGGCTTTACTCATTATGCCAAAGTGCCAGCCCTGAGCATGGGTTTTTACTAGTGGGTCATTCATAGACTTCATGTCTTGTAATCTCTGAAAGCATTTACGGAATTTTCTATGTGTATTCATCTGTGTATTTTCTTAGGAGAAGTTTCACAGTCTGGACAAAACAAATTTAAGAACCACTGGTTTAACAAAGTATTGCCACCTTTGTCTGGATCAGGAAGTGCAACCTGACAGG